CGGCGCCAAGCTCAGCCTCGATAGGCAGCTCGAGCCCGCGCTCGACGGGCTCGAGGTCCTCCGCAGGGAAAAGGACGCCATGGAGGAGGAGCTGGAGCGCGACTACGAAACCCTGCGCAACTTGGAGGCCGGCGCGAGGGCCCAGGCCAGGGAGCAGAGGAGTCTGCTTAAGAAGGCCCATCTTTTGACGCCCGCGCCGTCGGTGAAGCTGGAGGACGGGCGGACGGATGCTGCCAAGGACGGCGGCGACGGATTCATCTTTGGTCGCGACGCGGGGACGGCGCCGGGCAGTGCGTTTACGGTGAGTTGCTCTCTAGCTTTTTTCTGTTCCTATTTTCGAGAGAAGGGGGTCCCGTTGGTTGCTGATGACGGTGTGAGCAGGGAATTCAGCACGACGATGAGATTCACCCGCTTGTGGTGCAGCTCGGCGACCATGTGGATAGTATACGGGGAAATCTGGAGCAGACGGAGGGTATTCTGCCGCTGTTGGCGAGGAGCAAGGCCTCGTTGAGGGCGGTGCTGCTCAGGTATTTGGATCAGAGGGCGTATGAGCACGTCGTTTTGGGGTGAGCTATTTGCCAATTGGTCAAAACGTTGAATATATTTGATTGCAATGCTGGGAACATGGCGGGATGGCTTGGGGAAAATGCTGGTTTGTGGATTCTTTGGGGCGTTCATAGATTTTTTTTTTGTTTTTGTTTTTTTTGGGACGTATTATGGGGTTTGGCTTGGAACTGGATACATGGATTCACGAATTATTGAACGACTGAGTACCTACGTAGACATGGCATTCTACGAAATAATACATTAGCCCGTGGAAAGGGCATCATGGAACAGGCACCATGGCATCACGGGAAATTACGTTGGAGCTTCTAATTTGTGTAGCGCCATCTCGTCGTATTCAGTCTCCATACCTGTATGACTATTTTTTTTTTCAACTTGCTAACTCATTACAGAGCCAAGCCCAAAAACACATCAGACGAGTCTAGTCAACCTCACAAAAAGAAAGTCAGTCAAGGGGTTCAGACATTTTACAGCTGGCCGCTCTTGTCAATGACAATCTTCTTCTTGGTCTTGCCGGAGCCGCTGCCCAAAGCCTCGATCTTCTTGACGACGTCCATTCCCTCGACGACCTCACCGAAGACGACGTGCTTTCCATCGAGCCACGAGGTGACAACGGTGGTAATGAAGAACTGAGATCCGTTGCTGGAATTTTACAGTCAATATTGCATTTTGTGTGTTTTTATTTTCTTAAGCTGGCTGTTTCAGCAGGGGCTAGGGGGCCAAGACGTACGTGTTAGGACCGGCGTTGGCCATGGACAGCAAACCAGGCTTGGTGTGCTTCAAGTTGAAGTTCTCGTCGGCGAACTTTTCGCCATAGATGGACTTGCCACCAGTGCCCTAGAGGTGGTGTATTAGTACGAGTGTTCTCGGTGTAGCGAGGTAGCTCTAGCAGCTAGCTTGCAACACATACGTTGTGGTTGGTAAAGTCACCGCCCTGAAGCATAAAGTCGGGAATGACACGGTGGAAAGAAGAGCCGGCAAATCCAAAGCCCTTCTCGCCAGTGGCAAGGGCGCGGAAGTTCTCAGCAGTCTTGGGGACTACATCGTTGTAGAGCTTGAAGACGATCTTGCCGAGGGGAGCTATGCGGAGGGGCACGCCACTGTCAGTTAGCGATTGTTCCATGAATTCGGTGAGCAAGGACGCTGCAGAAACATACAGCCGTCGGCGGAAACTTCGAAGAAAACCTTGGGCTGAGACATGATTTGCTGATTGATGCGTAGGAATTCAATGGGAAAGGGATTTTGAGAATAAGAGAAGATGTTGAAGGAGGGAAATCTCAAATGGAGGGGAAGTAAGTGAGGGGTCAAACGTCATTCACGTCCTGGCGGGGGGATTGGCAGAAAATGGATTAAAACAGGACCCAAGTGTGAGCAGCTGGCAGCTCCTGTACCAATCAGCTTCGTACGCTGTGTTGACCCGGTTTCACGGTGGCACCGCCCTCCATCTGGTTGGCTGAGCCGAGCTTTTTCTTTGTGCTTCGATCTGGTGGGGGAAATCGTCAGCTCCGAGAAGAAGCTGCGACATCAATTGACGCGGTTCGTGGGCATGGAGTTTTATATGCTGAGGAACGTCAGCTACTACCAAGGTGATGCGTGCGAATGCGCACATACTTAGATAGAGAGGCAGGCAGTGTGCCTGTCGTGCTCCTGCGACGAGCCGTCTACCTCGATAGCTGTGGCGGCTACCTACCTAGGTACCTGGGTACCCAAGGTAACCTAGCAGCTATTTGAACTGGGACACAGTGTGAGTCGACGACATGCGCGCACGACATCTTACTGCTGACCTCATTCCCACGTGTCGACACTGTTACACACATACATGGAATGCCCTTGCATGAAATAGTCCCGTCGATAACATTCCGTGGCCATAGGGTCTTACAAATGCCAACAATAGCAAATTCTTCATTCTTCGAGTTGTGAGCGACGCAACCAGGCGTCCATCATGTCGTTTCCGAGATTCAAACCGTTCATTTCTCAAAACCAGGTCAGACAGACCAAGATAGAATACATATGTACATACACACGAAGAATAAAAGTAAACCAAATATCTAACCCAAATAAAAAAAGGCAACTAGTGGTTGTGGAATTGCAGCAAGAATCCATACCAGTTCATGCCCAGTACGTCTTCTGTCCTCAATGCCACGTAAATAGTTGCTTAAAGTCTCAAGCAAAATCAAGAAAACAATGCACCATCGGAATCTCTCTCCAGGCAAGACGCTAGCTTTTTGTTCTGCAGAGATTGTTGAATTGATATCATAAAAATCCATGGTACAAAAGATCCCTAATCTTGCTTAGAGATGCGAGAATGGTCTCCTCCTAGTCTATATCCAACTCGTTCCTATCAACATGAGGTTGATGACCTCAACGAGAAATTGCCACTTCCTCCACTATTCCGCTGAGAGGTCCGCTTCCATGACACGCTTATGGCTCACAAGTGAGAAGCACAATGAAATTCATCATCCGCCCTGATTATTTTGGCCTTCATTGTCCCGCAACGTCACCAGCTAAGATTTAGCGAAGACGAGCATAGCCAGAGGGCTTGGAAGAGCCGCTGGTGTGTGTGCCATTACCAGTAGGGAAGGGGACAACAGTGACAGTCTTCTGGAGAGTTGTGGTCTCATCAGTGCAGTCGGATGAGGTCTTGTCCTTGTCGCCGGCAATAGAAGATGGCTTGGGTTTGCCAGCATCGGTAGTGGTAGGGCCGCCAATGGTAACGTAGACAGTAGAGGCAGGAAGAGTGACGGTCTCCTTGGCCACGGTGACGGTGACAGTAGAGGGAGCGCAGGTGCTGTCGCCGCCGTGGTTGCCTCCAGACGGCGTAGTGGGGTGAGTTCGTGAAACAGTAACGGTGCGCGTGACTTTGGTGGTAGAGGTTAGAGTGGTTTGTTGGTCGCTGCCGATAGGAACACGAGTATGAACATCAGTGGGCTCAGCGGTTGCTTCAGATGGGGGAGCGACGGGCTTAGAGCCAGTGACGAGGATAGTAGAGGTGACAACGGAGGCAGAGGTGCCAGTTCCGAGGGTGAGAGTCACAATCTTTGAGCTCACAACTGGCCGGGCAGAGGTGGCATTGGCCGGAAGCGTAGATGGAGCAGGCGAGGCCTTGGTAGTAGGAGACAGAGTCGAACCAGTGAGGCCACCGGTAGAGGCCTTGTGGATGACTGAAGATGAGACCTTGCCGACCTCGCTGACAGGGCAGACAATCTCGGTCAGGACAATGGTGTCGGTAACAGTGGCGGTGGTCTTCTGAGACTCTGGCAGCGTAGCGATGTCGGTAGGGTGAGCCGGGCAGTTGGTGACGGTAGGAGCACAGCTAGTAATAGTGTGAACCTGAGTAGTTTTGACAGTCACCGTAGTCAGGCTGTCAGCGGATGTCGTATTGGCACGAGGGAAGTGCAGGTGGTGTCGGCCGGGAGTGTAGGCCGAGGCAACGGCGGCCAACATGCCCAGAGTAGCAACAGCAGACTTCATCTTGTCGGTGATGAAAGTGATAAAGAGGTTGATAAAGCCTGGTGTCGTGTGAGGGTCTTTCTAGTTGCCGATTGAGTGACAATCTGATATCAGACTGTACTTGGGGTACTCAATCCCGTGAATCTTGACTATTTTGGCAAGGAGCGAAAGTCGATTCCGCGTTGGAAAGTGGTAGCCTAGCTTGCTCACTTGAAGATAAAGAATGAAAGGATAAAAAGGGTCAGTGGTTTTCTGTGAGACGTAGCCTGCTTGACGTCGTGAATCGATATAAAGCTGTGATAGCAAGGACGGCGGTAGAAAACGCGCCAAAAGGAGTGTATGAATAGTCAGGTGGACTTGAGGGAGAGAAGAGAGTGAAGGGGAGAAGAAAGCCAGGATTTTGAAGAGAGAAGCAGGGCCAATATGAAGGCCCAGAAAGGAGAGAGGGGGGCGGAGCAGGTAAGGAAGAAGTGGCGTATGTATCCATCGAAAGTTTCTCCAACCATGTTCTCCGTATTGTATGTACATACATGCATACAACATACACGCTGCGTATTCAGGTATTGTATGTATGTACGGAGGAATAGCCGTACTCCGTACTCCGTAGTATGCAGGCCAATGCAGCTAGTACGCGAAGGCCACGGCGTCGTCGTGGGTGGGGTGGGTTCAGTGATGTTGGACGGTCATGGACATGGGGCCAAAACAAGAACAAGGACCGGGGCCCGTGGCCAGAAGGTTCGGTCAGCATCCACGAGATTAGAACCGACGAAACGAATTGCGGTGCTGCGTGGTTGTCAGCTTGTACGGAGTACTGCACAATACAACTGCAATGCGCACGTTACTTTCTTCAGTCCGAGTGTTCGTTCCGAGTTCTCCATACCTTGATTGAATCCCGCCCCTCCTGACTCCACAGGCCCAAATGAAAAAAACCATCGGGAGCCAAGGCAAAGAACAAATTGAAGGCACACAGCCACCGGTCTGATTGCTAGTACAATGCTCCGTACGCCGCAGATGGCACGAATGACACAAATGCCAACAGAGCAGAATGAACCCAGTTGACCAAGGCCATCATCAACAGGATAGTCGGGAAAGAGGCTAACGACGTGGGAGCAACTCGCTGGGGCCGCGTGGCACTTGGCATGGTGGAGGGCTGTGATGTCGCCCAGGCTGCGCCAAAAAGATGAATTCCGTTGGTGCGGACTCGTGATACGGGCGTATTTAGATTAGACATTCTGAAGTAGTGTGGAGACGATGCATCCCAAGCCAGGCACCATGGGCAACTTGCGCGCGTTGCGGGCGCATCCAATCAAACGTCGTGTAGCCCGTACTACTACGAAGTAGGACAATCGAAGAAGCGTTGACGATGTGACGATGCGGCCAGAGCGGCGCTAATCTGTGCTGTGAGTACCGTATATCGTCACTTGATTAACGGGGTACTCCATTGGATGAAGACTTAGACATACACGTGGATGAGACTGCGCTAGAGTGCATCTCGCTCTTTTTTTTTTTTTCTTTGTCTCTTTCTTCTGCGTTTCCGTCAGGAGCGCCCCGGGCTCAGGTGGTCCGATGCCTGGTATCCGGTTGGTTTGTTTCTGTCTCTGGCCATGCAGTTGGCTCTTCTCGGTGGTGGTTGGAAAGTCCACAACCAGATGGGCTCCTTCCCTTGGGCGATTTGGCTCAGGGGAAGGACTAGTGGCGCTAGATGCAGGTACCGGGAAGAGATGCAATTCTGAGACGAGCTGTGGTCCAATCGTTCGGCTGCACCCCTGCAAGAGGCACCAGCGGGCTTGAACGAGCTTCAACGAGGGCGTTTTTCTCCACTCTCCGGCGCCATCCCGAGCCAAATAATGCAATACGATCGCCTTTTTGACAATCCATTGATCCCTTGCACTGACGCCCCTTTTGACTCTCCCCTGCCCCGCCGTGTCTTCGATACTACGTGCCATTCACCTCGCCGGTCGTGGCCTGCTGTTCTTGCAGCAACTCTGCCTGAAAGACCTCGAGTCGCCAATCCGCATGCAAGACAACAAAATATGAGGAACGATATGGGAATTCCATGCCTTTCCCGCAAGGTCGCCACAGAACCAGGCTAGGGCGTCATACTAGAATCTGGCCAACCGCCAGCTGAACTAGGCGCCGTAATCAGGTGCCTGAGCCCTGACGGCCCTGTTCACTCGCGAACAAGAAAAAACTCTACCCCTCACAAACCTCAACCAGATCTTCCTGGTGATCCACGTTGCTCACAAAGCCCCAAGCGACACTAGTAGGCGCGGAACACGGGCACTCATGGATCGTTTTGGTATGTATTACTATGGCGGACCCGGTGTCGCCACCTCCAGCCGTCATTTGCGCGTGTGAACCGATGCATCAAATTCACGCTCGCGATTAGACAAATTCTCGGTGGAATGAATTGCCAATGGCGTCTCGCACGGCGTCGGCAGCTTTGCTCTGCGTTTCGAGTTTTCAAGACGCCGCCCTGCGCATGCAAGCCAAGTTTGAAGACTTTTTGCATCCCTTGCCGTATGATCCGCTCGGCCTTCATTTCGCTTCTTATCGTTGAATGACGGAACCCATGATTCATCATGGTACGGAGTCACTCCGTAGCATGGCTGTCGTGGCGGTAAGAGAATAATTTTGTGGCTGGTTGAACATCCCGCCACGCCCGACATTACAACATTACACTCTTCAACGTGCGGAGTACAGAGCATAATATTGCCAGGTCAAGGATTGTCGTGGCTTACATTAAGGGCGGCAGAAGGGTTCGAGGCCCATATGTAAGTAAAATGGATGTGATGCATGCATCCGTAAAAGGGATCAGCAAATTTAAGGCATTCATCCACGTACTTTAATAACGAGGTTATGAATAAACTTCTCTCATCATGGCATGCCACCTGGGTAATAGTGGACGGAGCCATGTGGATATTGTACTTGACTTAAGTAAGAGACAGTACGTAGTCAACGGTACTTGAGAGGCAACCAGCCGGCTCACCGTCTCTACAATCACACCCGACAGATGCTGAAACCGCCACCAGTCAAAGTCCACCGCCGTGCTCCCACACCGTCTCTTGGCCCACATGCTTCTTTTTTTTTTTCTTTTTTTTTTTTTCAACTGGGAATGTCCACTGTGGCTTCGTTCAACAATACTCCGTGTTGCTACTTTCCCTCCACAATCCTCCATTCTCTTAGTCCAGAAATGACCCCAGGCATACTTTCTTTCTGAGGCTTAGGGCTCGAAACACGATTCACATCGCTAGGTGACTGGGAACCAAGCCACCGATCCACTATCGCCTTGTCTACCTGCGCCTTTAATTCACTGAATTGCCTCATCCGACTCGTGCTGTCTGTCAACTGCGACGGTTCGTCTGATGATTTTTTTTCCCTCCCCGGCCCTGCAGCGAATCAAACCGCTGCAGTCTAATCTAGTCTGCGGTTTTTAAAATTTTCATGTTGCTTTTTAATTTGCTGCTAGTCATACCCACATCTCCGAGCCACATCCTCTGGTCGCAGCGGACTCTCTCGTCACCCAAACACTGTACACATTGTACTGAACAGTAACAGACTGTGCCCATTTCTTAGCGGCGAGTTCTTTGGTGTCTTTCTTCATCTTGGACCGAATTCATCCTCTTTCTTTACGCCGGGGCTGAGGCTATCGCGAAATGGCCTTTGCCGGCGCGCCCCTATATACTATCACCAATCTGCTAGCTTCTGACGCATCGCGATGCGTTCTAGGCGATTGTCGCGGTTTGTTACGGTTCTCTGGCTTGGGTACGGCCAGGCACATGGTAACAGAGTTGCCTTTACTGGGCCCTACCTGATGCATTCGGTGCTTGCACGACCATTTGGATAGGTTGAGTAAAATAAAAAACTCGATAATGGCAATACCTAATTCCGCTACGGAGTTGCAATAAAGTTGCTTCACAATAATTTCATTAAGCAGTGCTCCGGTCCGCAATTGCGAAATCGGCCCAATACTTTGAACGGACCGTAACCAGCCCATCGCGGTTCTTGACGAGTCCGTGTAATATAGCCCCCGACCCTGTGCAAAAGAAGGACCCCGGTCTGGCATAACAAAGTCACAGTAAAATTTTTGTCTGTTCCCGCTCCAGAGTGTGTTGCAGCCCGCTCGGAACAGTGATGTTCAGACCCCTGTGTCAGATCTAGTTGACGGCAGTGCATAAAGATCTGCGTGAGTGACTCTCGGTTCGTCATGCGCCAATGGAGAAATCATCCGAGAACCCCAATCCGGTATTTCATCTGATGTTCCCATCAGATGTTTCGAGGCCTTGTACGTCGCACCACTATGATGTATGGTGTTAATATCGAAACTTCCCCGGACCACTGTGCCCCCATCTTCACACCACTAATTTATGCGCTGGTCTCAATTTCATGCTTCAAACGAAGCTGATAAACATATTCACCCCACCTTTGCGTAGTCTATTACGGTTCTCTGGTTCGGGTACGGCCAGGCACATGGTGTTACCTTTACTGGGCCTTACCTAATACAAAGCTTACCTATTATTTGAATAGGTGAAATAGAATATAAAAAACTTAACAATAATAATACTTAATTCCGCTATACTAAAGTTATGACATTATACGTCACACTATTATAATGTACAATGTTGAAAACAAAACTTCCCTGGACCTCTGTGCCTTCATAATTATATTATGAATTTATGCGCTGGTCTTCATTTCATGCGTCCAATGAATCGGCTAAGCATATTCATTCCACCTCCTCTATTCTGGGACGAGGCTGCTTCGACACCTGATTGGTACTTGCTTCGGGATTGATGGTAAGCCCTGCGAGACGAGCCAGGCCACTGGTACTTGTCTCAGTTGGTTGAGGAAGCAAACTCCCGGCATACCAGTTCTCCAAACTTTCCACGACATCCCGAGCATGTTGTTGAACAAGTCCATCGTTATCTGTGTCCGCGACGTAAATCAGCGTCCGTTGAATATCCTCCCTGCTGGAATCCGTGAGCCCGAATCCGAGCGAGCGGCCAGACTCTCTTGCTTGATGCAATGCTCGCACAAAACTGAGGATAGCCATGACGGCCGCCCTGCGAAGAATGCCGTATTCAATATCTCCCTCCATGACTAGAATGTTGATACAAAGGTCAACTGCGTTTGATGCAAGCGTTGGTCCAATACCAATGATGTTGGTCTCCAGCGCAACACCAAGGACGGAGAGGGCAGAGGTTCTCATCCGAATATCTTCGCTGCCACGTTTGCTCTCCCAGCCTTGTAGAATTTGTGCCATTATGTCATTGTTAGCTTTCTCTTCTTCCGTGATTTGCTTGTCATCATCGAGATCCATATCCTCATCCTCATCATCTTCCTTGCTACTTGAAGAATGTGATTTCTTCACCGCAGCTAACTTCTCCTCCCGAGCTTGCTTAGCCATCGTCTTTGGCCTATACCCTCGTCGACCAGCAATAGCCAGCATCGTCTCAGAAGCTTGCCTAGCTACATCCCCTGAGAAAGTTTCACCTAGACGCTCGATGACTTGAACCAGGGCTTCTCCAAATCTGAGTCGAACATCAGTCGTAGACTTTTCTTGGGCATCTAAATAGTGATCAAGCAATTCTCGAGTAGTTGACTTGGGATGTCGGTTGGCCAGCTGCGTGAAGATTTTGACTACTCTTAGATTGATGTAGTCTTCATTGTCCTTCAGCAATCTGGACATCAGAGCTGTGATGGCAGTAATGTCCAAGATCGGACTTTCTGTCAGTATAAGCATGGAAAGCATGTTCAGGCCTTCTGAAACAACCGGCGGTGGACTTTCGCTGTCCGTGATGTAGCTCATGGCTAAATTATAAGTTCTCTTGTCCTCAATCTGGCGGATGGACTGGGCGCGTGCTGGTCTCTTGGACCCCGGCTCAACTTCGTCTGCATATTGGAGCAGCATTTTCAGGTTCTTGGCAGTAGTTGATACATCAGAGCTTCCTAAATTGCTGATTCTCTCGAGCGAGTCTTCGATGAGTCTCAAGTATTCTGGCTTGATATCTGATTTTTGAAAGCTTGACGCCGTAATAACAAGATTCAGGAGACTGAGTACGACTGAAATAAGGTCATCCCCGAAGGGGGCGCTGCCATCACCCTTGAGAATCTGACAGATAATATCCAGAAGTTGGTCAAAGTGGCCAACTAGTTTCTGCGGTGACAGATTCAGGAGCTTCTGTAGAACAGCAACTTCAGCCAGGCCTTGGATGGGAGACACCGTTGCTTCGT